CTGCGGCCCAGGGCGTGTAGGAGCCATTCGATGATGCTGGCCCACCAGCAGGGAGGCTGCTGGGAGGCCACTGCCACCACCCATGTCACCCCACCCCTCACCCCAGGAGCTTGGCTGAGGCTCAGGCCTGGTGATCTGCCACCCACTTATCCATCCAATTCTTAGCTTGCAGGCTATGTAAAAGCAGGTGGTGGACCAAATTTGGCTGAGGGCAGTAGTTTGCTAATCCCTGGTCTAGAAGATCATAAATGGAACAGCATGCTAAGAAACAAGAGTATGTCTCCAGACAGTTTGATTGTATGTATGTATAAATCTTAATGTTAATTACTCTAAATGCATGAATATAGATAGATTCAAACACAGGCTTTTAAAGAGCATATTAGTAACATTACTCATTTTAAATTGTCCCATCTCTTTGTTACATTATAATTTTGATATTTGCTGGTATGATTCATATCTGTTACTAAAAATCAGAGTTTTATTAACAGGATCTCTGCAAAACAGAGTTTCATTATCTATTGTGATATATTAAATATCTGCGAAGTGGGATATGGCCCTTTATAAAAATAGTTTGCTGACCCTTGTTCCAGACTATGGAAATATGGATCTAAAACTTAGCTATCACCTCAGCTGAGTAATAAAAAGCAGCCTCCTTGCTGGTGGGCCAGCATCATCGAATGGCTCCTACACGCCTTGGCCTGCAGACCTGCCAGCTGCGAAGTGGGATATGGCCCTTTATAAAAAAAGTTTGCTGACCCTTGTTCCAGACTATGGAAATATGGATCTAAAACTTAGCTATCACCTCAGCTGAGTAATAAAAAGCAGCCTCCTTGCTGGTGGGCCAGCATCATCGAATGGCTCCTACACGCCTTGGCCTGCAGACCTGCCAGCTGCGAAGTGGGATATGGCCCTTTATAAAAAAAGTTTGCTGACCCTTGTTCCAGACTATGGAAATATGGATCTAAAACTTAGCTATCACCTCAGCTGAGTAATAAAAAGCTCATATTGGAAGTGCTACAGTGAAGTTTTTGTGGAGCAGTTATACCATATTCTGGATATCCCAATTCTTGTGATGATTGATTGATTGATTGATTGATTGATTGATTGA